CGTATCTTGGAGACAGCCAGACAGTCAGACTCAGAGGGGGGAGGGAGGGAGGAAAAACAAACAAACAACAAACGCACAAAAGATTTCTCTTCAATGACACATGCAAAACTGGTTTCTCATCTTTCAAAGTTAAAAATCAGCAAACAATAAAGCCGTAATACAACATATAAAAGCAAGCAGCATCATCCGACCAAAATGCGCATATTTTAATCAAGCCTCCTCATGAACATGAGTCTCTGAGTGTGTGTGTGTGTACGTGTGTTTGATTAATGTGACATGAAATCTGCTATCATACATATGGTGGTAGAGTTGATTTGTTTTCAGGAAAACAAAAAGACAAAAAAAATGAGAAGAAACAAGAGAGACGGAGAAGAAAGAGGGCGAGCAAGCGTTATTAGCTTGCCATAAGGCCCCTTTATTTTTCTCCTTTTCCTTTTCTCTTTTTCTGTCTATTCAGTCAGCGTGTAAATTCATTTCAGACAAAGAGAACACTGAAGCGAAAAACGCCTGACAAACGATTGTTTATCAAAACATAGAAAGAAGATAGTGATCAGTTAATCAAGATTGATTATTTGCAATCTGATTTGAGATTGCTGATGAGCACGGATATAGAGAGGCTTGTTCGACATTTGTCAGATAACTTACACCATCTCTGGCTTAGTAGATGTGATATCCAGTTGGCTGCGCAGCATAGCGTATCAGTTCCTTCCGTCCTCCTTTATGGCTGTAAGTGAGATATGAAAGCCATTGAAAGTGGAAGACTTGAACAGGCAGGCTAGCTGTCTTTTTGATCATTGGTGTCTGTGTTCTATTATTTCCCGTCTTAAATAGTATAACAGAGTATTATTGACGTTAGGCGTGGAGTGCTATGAAAGGGAGAGGGGAAATCAATCGAGAAGTTTGTGAGGTTACATCGATTCAGAGATGGTTAGGCCATGTGTTACTGTGGTGAGAGCTGGTTGCTAGCCAAAGTTGGTAGACAGTAATTGACGTCAATGTTTATATCCCCAATATTGGTGGTGAGAAAATGAGAACAAAGGCTTTGCGTAGGCGGATACAGTTAGCATATGGATGATCTGACACAGCCAACCACAAAGAGATGCAAGGTTAACTCTCTGTGAGAAACAACCAATCAAAAGACTGTATTGTCTACCAACAATAATCTACAATAATTTACATTAAAATCTATAAATATGTGTTGATTTTCCTTAATAAACTATCTGTTGCCTGGCCCTTGTCTTCTGTTGTTACAATACTACTCATGCCTAGCCATCGCCTTCCTCGACGGTCAGGGCAATGTTGGCTTACATAAGATGGATCAGGTTAGAAAAGAGTCAGTGGTGGGGTGGTGGTCAAACCAAAACATGGATTCATCAGTCAATGATATCCATAACAATTAGTTTAAATCAGCCAGCTAGCCAGTCAGTCACGTAGGGAGGGAGGTGTAGACTTCCTCGCGATAGTAAAAGCCAATGAAGGCTGGAGACAATTGGTGATATGGCTCAAAATCGTTGTCAATGGCTGGCACAGATGCACTCACTCTTTGTAATTTCCCAGTCATATCCAATAAAATTCTATTATTCTTCCATGTTACTATTCTTCGTCCCTCACTCACACTTGTGTTTATTATCTATCTGTCTTTTGAACGTCGGTTTACTCTCTTCTCTTGCTTTGTGTGTTACATGAAATGGAGTGTGGCATCTGTGTAAAGCTCCATGTTGAAACCAGTCATTCAGACAATGTATACAGAAAACAAAGAAGTTGTAATCGCTGGCTTAGACTAACTGTTGTGGATTTCATTGACTGGTGAAGCCATGTTTGGTTTGACCGCCGCTAGCTCTTTTTCTAACCTGACCCAATGTCAGCTAACATTGCCCGGAGGTCGAGGAAGGCGATAACTAGTCATACGTAATATATGTTCTGACCATCTCAGTCGATGTAACTTCATAGCCTCGTCGATTGATTTCCCCTCCCACCTACCTAGCAATCGACGCCTAGGTATATATATATATATATTCCACTCGGAACCCAAGAATTGAGTGATCACTACAAGACTCTTCAAACCTTTAGGAATTGACGTCACACACAAACCAACAAAGTCACTTCACTCAGGTGTCTCTGTGTCAACCAAAAGACTGAACAGCGAAAGAAGATAAAACCAACATCATCTACAAAATAAGTTGCAACGACTGCGAAGAACACTACATTGGCCAAAGTGGACGTCCCCTTCGTCTTCATATCCACGAACATAAGCTAGCCGTCAAAAGAAATGATATCCACTCTCTCACATCACTCACTGCATTCAGACAACCACGGACATCAATTCGACTGGGACAACCAATGTTCAAATATTAGACAGAGGAAACAACAAGAATGCTAGAGAATTTTTAGAAGGTTAGCATTACAGTGAATCATCAATCAATAGACACATCGAGATAGACAAAATTTATCAACCGATAAGAGAGAAACCTCACACACAAAGGGTCAAAGTTCAGGTCAAAGAAACAATCAGTTCCAATACAAGTAGCCTAGAAGGTGTGAAAACACACAAAAACATCCAGTGACGTCCAAGGTCACCCAGTGGGAGAGATGATTGATAAACTCGTGGAGAAAACAAAAAGCTCACTTCAAATTGAAGTATTTGCTGAAGATGTCGCCTAGTAAGGCGATGAAAGCTTCGCAAATTAACTATCCAGTTCAGATAACACAACCACATCAAAATCATCCACCTGAGCTACAAATCTTCTCTATCATATCTAAGTTATTTAATAAAACACGCAATAATTACACGAACAAAAAGCGAGATAATTATATATATATATATATATATATTCACACACTTACTGATGTAATACAACTACTACTGATTGTTTGTGCCTTTTTACTGATCACTTCATGATCTGAGTTGACACCGGTTTCATGTATATCATCACAATCACTTTCAGGACTCATATACGGTTCATCATAATCATTTGGATTCGAGCGTGATACATCTGATGACGGTAGACCGGTTAGCGAGGCTGACTGTTTTAATTGTGGTAAAAGTAAGCCAGTGCTGTTCGTGGTTGTGGTGGCGGTGTTGGTGGCGTTATTATTGTTCAGTCCAACTTTACAACAGCTGTCAGGATTATGAAAACCTGGATTATAATGCACAGTATAGTAGGGTGTATTACCCCCACCAGCAGCAACTGATGTATGCTGATGAGAATGATGATGAATATGATGAACTGGACTCAAGGATGATGAGGATGGTTGTTCTCTGTCACTAACAAACTTTTTACTCTTATGATGCTTAGGACTCGATGAAGACGGTGAAATATTTGACTGCATAACACTGCTACTACTACCGCCTTTTCGATGGTGTAATAAACTGTTGTATTGATCATTAGTATTCATCAGAATTGTGTGTGTATGATTGACTGTTGTTGTCTTGTCATACTGTTTACATTCACTGGATGTGATCTGTTGTAAAGCCCGTGAAATATCATCCAGTATCCTTGGTAGTGAGCATAATTCTTCTGGTAAACTGGTTACAATGGTAGGGCAAACAGGTTTCTTGGGGAAAAAAAGAAAGAAAAACAAACAAACAAAATACAATACAATACAGTGAGTAGATTATACAAGCAAATATTCGAATCGCTCTCTGTCTGTTTGTCTGGATTCAACATAGAACTTGGCACCGAAGTGCAGCAGTTCGAGTTGCCACGTTCCAAATAGCACACAAAGGTAGACAAGACAAGAAGATGAGTGAAGAGAATCAATAGAGTTTTGACAAGTATAAGAGTGAAACAGAATGAGTAATGGTAGAAAGGAATATGAAAGATTACCCAAGAGATTGAATACATCTGCGTAAGCCATTGACAACGATCAGTTTGAGCCATGTCACCTATTGTCTCCAGCCATTGATTCTTAGAGTCCCGAGGCCGGGCCCCAACCAGTCAGGAAGTCTGCATCTCCCTCCTACCTGACTCAGTTTAACTGTCAGGGATTTCATGGATTGATGAGGCCATGTTTTTGTTTGGCCACCCACTTACTCTTTTCCAACCTGCAACTATATCAGCTAGTAATGCCCGTCCGTCGAGGGAGGCGATGGTTAGGCATGAGCAGCACGTCACCTAGCCATCTCAATCTATGTAACTTTATAGCTTCTTCGAATGATTTTCCCTCTTTGCCCAACCAACACTCTACGCCTAACGTCAACATTACTTACCTTATTATACCACCTAACGCGAGAAAGAGATCGTAAACATCTATGATCAAAAACAGTCAACCTTTTCATGTCTTCAACTCGTATTGGCCATGTTTCAGAGGCATAGAGAAGGACGGAGCGAACTTCTGAGCAGTACACACGTCCCCTGGTTGATAGTCGGATGTCACGCCTACACCAAAGATGGTGTAAGTTAGCGAAAGCAGCTCGAGCTTTTTGGATCCGTGCTGAGATTTCGTCACTAATCAATCCGTTGGTGCTGATACAACTTCCCAAATAGGTGAAGTGGTCAACATGTTCTATCATTTCACTCCCTATCACTATCACTAAGCTAGGAATTGACGTAGTCCAGTCCTGTAGCAGCATCTTACATTTGACAGGGGCGAATCGCATGCCAAACATACGAAGACTGCTGCTCAAGGTGTTCAGAAGACTCTCTCTCTCTCTCTTCCTGTCGGTAACTCCGCGCTAACGTCAATCTAAGTTTTATTACAACTCAGACTAGTTCAGTAAACTAAATTCAAATCAGTCACTGTAATAAGAGAAGTAGTACCACTTCCAAGTTCTGAAACTCTAAGATGGTGTATACCCGTTGTGTGTGTGTGTTTGTGTGTGGAATCATCATTCTTCATCAGACAGGACTGGAATCAATGTCAAAAGGAAGACACACATGCGTTGACGTTTATCTCACACATGAAAAATATATAAGTAATTAATTCAATTTCAGATTTTCCTGTCGATTGATTTGAACCAAGGTGCTCGGTCTCACGTTAACAAGTCGGCTTCTTGTGCAGATGATCGGACGATGTCTGGGAATGTAATTAGAGGTTAATTGATGAATGGTAACTAGCAGTGGAATCCAGAACAACGCGCATTTCGTCCTATTTGGGAGTCGTCAGCTAGTGGATGTACCTGCATTCCCCAGTCAGGGAGTGATGATTTTCCCACCACCGAGGCTCGAACCCAGTGTCCATAGTCTCAAATGCCAAACTGTTATCCACCAGACCACTTGGGCCATGAGAGCCACTGCCTCTTGTGCAACGAATCATATTAATTATTTGATTCAATTTCAGATTTTCCCGTCGATTGATTGGACTAAAGTGGTTGGTCCTTGGATGATATGTCGGCTTCTTGATTGGACACTAGTAACCAGTCTGATGTGTCTGGCTAGTCCTTTCTTTGGTGCAGACTGGATTCTATCAGTCAGTCAGGTTTGCTATGTGGCCACCATGCCACTAGGTAGCTCGCCATCACCGTGTACATTGATTTGATGATAGTGGATAGTTAGAGGCAATCGTCAGGAAGCTTTCGACCTAGGTTTCATGCTAGTTGGCACTCACCAGTCAGCAAGGCAGGCGTATCTGCAACCTAGAAGGAATTCATATCCCTTCTGAGTTTCGATCCCGTGTCACCCAGTGCCGCCTGAGCTATTCAGGTTCGCGATTGACCTCCTGAAGGACTGTAGTGGTTATTTTGATTGGGTCGCGGGCCCAAATAGCTCAATGGTAATGTCACTGACAGCAGCGCTGGGTGATGCGGGTTCGAATCCCAGAAGTTAATTGGTGGATGGTGACTAGCAGTGACTAGCGTATTTCATGCTGGACGTTTGAAACTATGGGTACTGGGTTCGAGCCTCGGTGATGGGACCATCATCACTCCCTCACTGACTGGGGAATGCAGGTATATCTATCCAGTTGACGAGTCCTAAATAGGACGAAATGCGCGTTGTCCTAGATTCCACTGCTAGTCATATTCATTCCCTCTTTTTATATAGACCAGTATACACTAAAATATATCAGACCAGCTGTATTATCAGTTTTCATAGAATGATGAACAGCCGTCGTCAGTTGTAACTCGATCGATCAATAATATCAATAAACCAGCTTATTGTATACATACACACATAAACTAAAAAATATTTATTACACGCCTTAATTATGAATTTATATTTCACACAAATCAATAATAATAAGTGTTTGACCAGGCACAAAAAAATACACAAGGTTAGAATTTCTGCCCATTCATTCATGCATTCATTCATTCGACCATTATTCAGACGTGATTGTATGTGTGCCTATCAATCAATGAATAAGTTTAGACCAAATGTTTTGCCCCCCGCCTTAGTTCAGTTTGAATGTTTATGCGCGCACACACAAACAAACACAGGCAAAATACAGACAGGAGAATATTCTTAGAGTAAAGTTGAATATTCCCATATCACTTGAATCAATAAAAGTCAATCTGAACGAAGAATGTTCTTTTCAATAATTTCTCCTCTTCAGGTTCTTACACAATTATGAAAATATGATATTTATTGTATTACGAGTTGATCACGGACTGATATCAGTTAGAGAACCATTGAAAACCAGCACTGGAGTACTGGACAGCTGCTGTTTCATCCTAGTTTGGGAATCATCGGCAGTACGCACCCACTGTTTCGAAATGTATAGCGCTAATACATCATATTTTTCAGATAATCCCCGTCTTCTAATAATGCTATCAGAATAATAGTTATGGGGTGTCAAAATAAATAGTCGTATTTGTGTGACAAACGTGCCCTGGGCTGAAATCGATCACAAAATATTTCAGTAAAATGGGAGACAATGATAATGGTGATTAGTCGTCATAATAGATTCGTAGAATGTGGGGTAGGAAAATTGACAAGTAAGTCAGTTCAAGGTGATAAAAGGTGTCAATTGAGAGAGTGGCTAGTACAAAGTGGTATGTATTAAAGAGGAGGAGATAGTAAGACCGCAATGAGAGGGGTTCATAATGAAATAACGAATGTGTGAAATGAAACGGGTGGAGGAAGGCATATATTGAGAAAAGAGATAATATCACTAATAATAAGAAGTTCGGATAGTAAAAATGGAAAATTCGATAATATTGAGAGAATGTTTGCATGAAGGGCATAAATTATGACGAATAATAATAATAACTGTAATAATATATGTGTAAAACTTGGGCACTGTGGTAGTAAGTAACTCCATATTAGTTTGTTTATTAGATGTATCACACAGTGAAACCGTATTATTTAATGGGTTGTCAGGTTAGGCTTTCCACATTTTTGTCGTTTTAATGTAAGTGCACATTGTGCCTGTACTTCGTCAGACGTTGTTTTGTCTATCCCACACACTTAATGCTATTTCTATTTTAGGGATGACATCCTCAGGTTTCAGCTTGTCTACCGCTACATTGAAATTTAGTCCCTTTTCTAATACACTTATTTATGTAGGACTTGATATATGCATACATTGAGAGATTCATAACCCACTTTGTTTTATCGATCGCCGTTGACTTTTGGTTGTTGATTTCATCGTTCTGAAATGAAGATTTCTCCTCTAATAATTTATTGAACTTTTTGATTTGAGTATTTTTTGACTTTTTGAAAGCTGGTGATCTGGCATTGCTAGAGGACTGTGTTATAAGATCATAATCCACATTGGTAACTATTCCCATTAGCTTTTGCTTTAATTGCTCAATTTCACATCTGATATGGCGCAACTTTTTAACTATTCGGTGGATCTCTTCTTTCAGGCATAATTTCCAGTAAATAATACTGTTTCACTGTGTGACACATCCATTAATAATTATTATTATAATAAACTAATATGGAACTGTAATAATAAGCAAAGAAAGAAAATAAACCAAGAGGGTTAAGGGGAAGAAGCACTCTTGGTGAGAAGAAGAATCATCAATTCAAGTTTGGCCAAGGTAGGAACAACTTCTGGGCGTGTTCTTTTTGGATACAAGGTTCCGGTTTAGTCGATCTTATTGCAACAGCTTCAGCTCTGTCTAGGAGACGTAAGCGAACTGTACGTGATAACGATTTCTGAATTCGGTATATAACCCTGAAAGCTGTGTTTACGTGGATGCCATGTCCAGTATCGACCAAGTGTGACAGGACCGAACATTTTATGCACTTAATTTGCCCCCTGCTGAACCAAGCTGGTAAATGTTCTCGAACCCGTAGACGAACCTGCTTAATCGTGTGCCCTATATAACTTGAATCACAGGAACAGTTGAAATGGTATATGCATGAAGAAGAGCTAAGGTTAGGTAAGACATCTTTGAGTTGCTAGGTGAACATTCGACGGCTACTGAAGGATAGGGACAGACGTGCAGACGCGCACAACTGGCTATCATTATTGCAACGACAATAAATATTATATTTCATAATTGTAAGAACCTGAAGAGAATGATGTATTGAAAAGAATATTCTTCGTTCAAATTGGATTTACGTGGAATAACAAATTAGTTATGGATGTCAAAATAAATAGTGATATTTGTGTGACAAACGTGTGTAATATGTGATAGGTTGAAATCGATTACAAAATATTTCGATAAAATGGGAGACAATGGTGGTGATTAGTCGTTATAATAGATTCGTAGAATGTGGGGTAGGAAAATTGACAAGTCAGTTCAAGGTTATAAAAAGTGTCAGGTGAGTGAGTGGCTAGTACAAAGTGGTATGTATTAAAGAGGAGGAGAGAGTAAGACTGAAATGAGAGGTTCATAATGAAATAATGAATGTGTGAAATGAAACAGGTGGAAGCATATATTGAGAAAAGAGATAATATCACTAATAATAAGTCCGGATTAGTATAAATGGAAAATTGTATTGTATTGAGAGAATGTTTGCATGAAGGGTATAAATTATGACGAATAATAATAACTGTAATTTTCAAGAGCTGGTTTGTGAGGATTAAATTTGTTTTTACGAGTTTGACCACGGATTGATATCAATTAGAGAACAATTGAAAACCAACACTGGAGTATTGAACAGCTGTTTCATCTTAGTTTGAGGATCATCGACAGTAAGCACCCTACAATAGGGGAGAGGGTGCTTCCTTTCTACAGCAGACTAGGTATGATGCCAGGCTTCCTTAAGATGGATATTATTACTGTCAATCTCAGATACATCGTTAGTTAGTTATCTCTATCCTGTATGTAGATTTCATATTCTCATAAAGTGGGAGGCGTAACTGTCTCAGGCGTTGCTGCCTATTTTCTATGCCCATTCAGTCGAAAGCATATACATGCACGCACCAATGGGTGACAGGAGTTTACACAGCTGTTCCGGAAGTAGCCGCAATCTGCTACCAACCCTTCGCATTTATTTATGCTCAACGTGAATTTAATGTTGGAGGTCATCGGGGTAGGGGAGCTCTTAGTGTGTCTTCTTATACTTCAAACCATTCGCTAACCAAGAATAGATGATTACTTGAACAGAACTGTAGAAGATGACCACAGCTGTCGGTTTGTCCACATGGCACTCCACTAAGCGCAAGCGATTGACTTCCCCTATTTAAACATTGAGATCACTTATTAAGATGATCGCATTATAGCGTTTTACTTCTAGTTAATAAACGGAACAGCTCTTGACAAAGCTCATCATTCTCTTCATCCGAACTGCATTTGGTTCGGGGCGCCGAGATCACGAAAAGAATGAAAAGACTGTCACCTAACAATACTCTCACTCTAGAAGTACACATGTGATGACAGAGCTTTCTGTAAGCCAAAATTGTAGACAACAATTTACGTCAATGTTCACGTCCTGAATCAACGTCATAAGAAAAACAATAACAAAGCTTAACCTTGAGAAAATCACTAGCCAATCACAGAGGAGTTAACGTGTGTGGAAATATGATTCGCAGATATATGGCCTAACTTTCTAAGAAACGCGGTCACAAAGAGATAATAGAATAACCTTGAGCAAGAAAACAACCAATCAGAAGACGTTGCTTCTCTGATAACAATAACGCTAATAATAATGTACATTAACATCTATAAATATCTGTTGATTTTCTCAATAAACGATGTTTCCTGGCCGTTATCTTCTGTCGTTACACACATTTATTACACAAAATAATCGAGCAAAGAATATTCTTTTCAATAAATTCCTCTTTCAGGCTCTACAATTATATATATGTTTATATACACAGAATATTTTAAATTAGTAGTTAATAACAATATTGGTGTTTTTTAAATAATATCGCTTTGTTAAGTAAGAACTCGATAGAATTAGAGTTCTTTAAAGATGCTTAAATTATAATAATAATAAAAATATAATAGCAAATAGAATATCAACTAAAATTAAGGAAATTTCAACAAAAACTTGAGGATCATTCAAATCTAGATGGCCAAGCGGGTAATGATAATGACTGAACTAACTTCTTTTGGATGCATAAATTAGGCTTATTAATATGTATCCTCACAGCCTCAGCAATATGTAGTAGTCGAACTCTTAAAGCGAAATTGAGATTCGTAGGTATGCGGTAAATGACCCTGAAAGCATGATTAACGTCAATCTTGTGTTCTGTATCCACAAGATGAGCCAGAATAGCGCTGCGGATAGATTTTGTTTGTCCTTTGCCTAACCAGGCAGGGTGATGTTCGGAAATTCGACGCGAAACATGCCTACTTGTACGGCCTATGTAACTGGCCCACTCCACAGGAGCAGTTAAATTGGTATATACACATGGAAGAGGCGAAATTAGGCAGTTTGTCTTTTATTCCCGAACGCAGAAGAGGAGTGGTTTTAAAGATACAGCGTAATTGAGCAGCAGGGAATGCTCTTTTTACCGCCTCATTTCTAAGGCGATGTGTTAGTATCTCACTGGTGTTATCTCCTAGGTACTGCATCTGTAGGAATAAGGCCTTTTTTAGAACTGTTGGTAACTTGGGCTGCTTTGATTTCAGATTCATATTCTTATCAATAAACTTTTCAGGATAAACATTCTCACTTAGAAACCGTTTAATATTGTTAAGTTCCTCGTCAAGACATTCGTCCGAGCAAATCTCTTTTGCTCTGTGAACCAAGCACTTTATTAGATTGCGTTTGTATTTCAAGGGCACAAAGCTGAGAAAATGTGTGTACTGGCCCGTTGATGTAGGTTTTCTATAAACACTTCTTCTTATTGTGCCATCCTCTTTTCTGGTCATAAGGACGTCTAAAAATGAAATACTCGAGTCTTTTTAATGAATTTTCGATACAGAAGTATCAACATTTGAATTGAATCATATGCTCTTAATGTGGTGAGAGCTGTCTACTAGCCAAATTGGTAGACAGTAATTTACGTCAATATTTACGTTCTCAAGATTTGTCGTGAGAAACAACCAATCGGAAGACTGTGTTTGTTTGCTTAAATATCCATAGTAATGTACATGAAAATATATAAATATGCGTTGATTTCCTTAATAAATGATCTGTTGCCTGACTCTTGCCTTCTGTCGTTACAATTGGTGTCGCTGCCTACCGACAAATGGAAAGCCTATGCCCTGCAGTTTTTGATGAAGACATATGGATCTTCGGGCAGGACTTTGAGGCTTCTTCGCACTTGAGTGGCGTCCAAGATCTGTCAGCGACGAGGCTGCTACTTGGGACGCTGCTGGGGGGTCGGGAGAAAGCAACATATGAAAGTGTGAGCCGAAATACCTACGAATGTGCGGCAGGGTCAGGCAAACAGTTTCCAAAACGGGAAGGACCATACACAGTCACAAAAAGACGGGGTCAAGTATATGCCATCAGAAGAGGTGACAAACAAAAACGAGTTAACGCCAGCAAGATCCAACGATGGGTGCATTGGGACAAGCCGGTCGGTAACAATCATCAACGAGAGGATGCATCACCCAGAAGGTCGGAACGCCTGCTATTTGACGGGGGGACGAGTGTGGTGAGAGCTGTCTACTAGCCGAATTGGTAGACAGTAATTTACGTCAATATTTACCTTCCCAAGATTTGTCGTGAGAAAATGTGAACAAAGATTGATTCAAAACCGACCACAGCAGACTTTGCGTAGGTGGATGCAGTTAACATATAGAGGATTTGACATTCAAGAAACAGTCACAAATAGATGAAAGGTTAACTTTACGTGAGAAACAAACAATCGGAAGACTGTGTTTGTTTGCTTAAATATCCGTAGTAATGTACATGAAAATATATAAATATGCGTTGATTTCCTTAATAAATGATCTGTTGCCTGACTCTTGCCTTCTGTCGTTACATTAATACACGTTCAGGAGAAAAATAGTGTTAACTTACAAGGAAAATTGGTGAAACTATTCCTTGAGTACTTGAATTGACCTCGTGTGCATCTGTTGTTATACCATTGTGTCCATTCGTAGTATTCACATCAGGAGCAGTGGTATTAGCATTAGTATTAGTATGAGTATTATAGGTGATGGTCACTGAAGGAGTTATCAATGAATCACGGAATATAACATCTGATAGTATAACATGCAAATTGGCTAATTCACAGCTTTCATCAATTGTATCTTTAATGTTATTCTGTGATGTTGCCTTCGCTGTTGTTGCTGTTGTTGAGGTTGATAGTGTTGCAGTTAGGGTGGATCTCGTTTGATCAGCGTTTGTAGTTGACAGAGAGTCAGACACAGCATTACTGATGCCAGTAGTAGCTTCAATATTAGTATCAGAGCCGTGAACAATATTCACCTTATCGATAGTGTGATCATTATTTAACGAGGTTGATATTGATCGAATAAATGAACGCATGGAAGACAATTGAGAGGTGACATAACCGTTTAAAAATCTCATATATGGTTCCTGAAAAACACAACAAAACAAAACAAAAATAAACAAAACAGAAATGTTAGAGAAAGAAAAGATTTCCAATATTTTTTTGTTGTTGAATACTTTAAAGGAGATATGTAAACATCGCGGGAAACCAAGGTAATCAGAAGAAATGAACACCGTAGAGTCACCTATGTTCGACCATCGAGAAATAAATCCAGTTGAACTAGAAAAGCTTGAGAAGTCATCAGCCATAGGCTGTCTACACGCTATAGAATCAGGTCACAATATTGATGTTGACAATATTGAAATCATCATCCAGAAAAAGCTTCAAATGAATTGTCGTCAAGATTTGAAAGAATAGTTCTAAAATTTTTGGGTGCCGAGTGAGAAGTAGACATTTATAAAATCTCAGCGAGATTGAAATGAGTAACTTCAACGTGTACTATGTTCAGCAATCTGGTTCGAACTTCTTCAGGGAAATTAATCGAAATTAACATAATAGAGGTTTATTTGCAGAAAAGGAACATCTCATGTTTTTAAAAATTTTGTTCAGTCATGAGTCATTCAACAAGTATAATAAACAAAATTTTTATGAGCTGTGATCAGAATTTGACCTCGGACTTACAAATATTGGTCTACCTTTGTTTAACACTTTAAACAGAGTGTGTATGTGTGTGTGTGGGTGAACGGTTGTAAAACATTTCTTAACGTCTCCATAAGAAGATATGGACAGTCGAGAATTTTGACCAAGTATTATTAACTAGTGATACATATCCATTTTTATTTATTAATAAGGACTTGCTATGCATCAGCTAACAAGACCACACCTTCATATCTATTCAAACTGTTAGTATCTAGAATTTTATGATAAGACGTATTTTCAAAATTATGGTGTTTAGGATTAGAGTTTAGTTGAAGCACCCTGGCGAACTTATTGCTTTGTCTTCTTTCTGAAGATTGACCTGCTTTATTCGATCTACTGGAGAGTTGTCAGGTGACTCGACAGCTACGGATTTAGGATATGCATTATTCTGTTGCAGACAACGGAGATTGAAAACACGATGATTGTGCCAATTGGCATAGTTTCTTTGCTAATTTAATTCGATTGCAAAATAATTCAAATGAACTGTCGTCAAGATTTGACGGAATAGTTCTAAAATATAATTGGGCGCCGAGTGAGAAGTAGACATTTATAAAAGATTAAATTTGTAATATCTCAGGGATATTGAAATGAGTAATTCCAACGTTCTTTTTCTGCATATAAACCTCTGTCACGTTAATGTCGATTAATTTCTCTGAAGAAGTTCGGATCAGTTTGCAGAATGTAGGAAACGTTGAAATTATTCATTTCAATCTCGCTGAGATTTTACACAAATATAATTTTTTACAAATCCAGAAAAAGCATTTCAGAAATCACAAAGAACGTCTGATATCATCAGAAGCACTTCATATCAAGTGGAATCCAAATTGTTTGAATAGGAATGATGGACCTGGTTACAACACCTCCCTCCTCCATGAAGTGACAAAATCAACACGAATGTGGTAAGCAATTTCATTATGTAAACACACGTTGCTTTTATAATTTTATACACTTATCGAATCCAACAATCTACACCTATCTGGTTTTGTTATCTTTACCAATTAGCCAATTTGATAACGAAAAATGACCCCATACTGAGGAACGATGATCAAGCTAGTAAACTTTGTTTTGATACTATAGCAGAGGTACCTCTGTTATTTGGTTTAGTGATTTTCATTGTTATTTTGACCTTCCATTTGTCCTTTTAACTTGACCTAAGTTTATTTTCTCACCTGCTGAGATTTTGTAAATTCTGGCTTAATTATACTTTGATAAAGCTATTAGCATCAAATAGCGAAACGTCAGTAAAAAGAATATCGTTTTGTTTTTCATTTATTGGGAAATACAAGAAAACCTTTATTATAATGAATATCATATACCACCCAATGCTCAAATTTTTTCAAACAGTTAGAAGTGAACTTGGTTTAGACATATATCAGATATGCAAGATTCCATCAACACTTTCGTAAAATGATTAAACGCATCAAACGGACATTCTACGCTGCATCTCTTTTTCTCACACGCCGAACATTTTGGATCCCTACCTACGTATCTACGATTAAAGGACGAAATTCTGTGCACCGAATTTCAAGCTGTATCTACAAGTTCACCTGCAGTTGTTGCGGTGACACACACTATATAGGTAGGACCAATAGAATTAGAATTTAATTGGTGGATGGTGACAAGCAGTATAATTCAGGCTAATGCACATTTCGTCTTGCTTGGGCCTCGTCAGGTGGATGGATGTATCTGCATTCCCCAGTCAGTCAGTAATGATGTTCTCACCACCGAGGCCCCAACCCAGTGCCCATAGTTTCAAACGCCAAAGCGTTATCTACTGGACCACTTGGGCCACGAGAGCCACTGCCTCTTGTGCAACAACGGGTCATATTAATTATTTAATTGAATTTTAGATTTTCCCGTCGATTGATTGTACCAAAATGCTCGGTCTCAGGTTGAAATGTCGGCTTCATGTGCATATGCTTCGACGATGTCTGGGCATGTAATTAGAATTTAATTGATGGATAGTGATTAGCAGTGGAATCCAGGATGCGCAATAGAATGTTCTAATGTCGTCGAAAAGAGCATGTTCCAAAATGGTTATTAAAACACAGAAAATCGCAATGCACTCATTAATCTGAATAGAAATCCAGCATCATCATCCATTGCAAAGCACTTATTAATGTCAGGTCATAAAATCAATATTACTAATGACGGCTTCACAATTATTTCATCACATAACTCTAATTCAAGGTTGGTCATTAAAAGTGATGGAAGCACTTTGGGTGGTTGATCTTATATAACCTAAACTGTGTGTACAAAAAACAACAGACTTCAACCTTCGCCTACTATGGTGGACTACTTGACCTATTTAAATATGTAGTTTATTTACTTATCAGTCCTATATCTCCCAATGTAATTTCAAAACTATATATATCCGTGTATGTAAAGTATTCAGTCCTATATCTCCCAATGTAACTTCAAAAGCATATATCCGTGTAGGTAGAGTATTCAGCTGACGAGTTCTACCGAAATTTGATGAATTCATTAAATCCTGCTTTATTAACTTTTATTGCTTGTTTTAAATTCGTATCGGGAAATAAATGTTTCCTATTTAAATATGATTGGTTATTAGTGTGTACTTTTGCTTTGTTTCGCATAACTGAGTAATTGTCATGAACTTTATTTTATTTTATTATTGTTAACCATGTTAGTTGTAAAGTGGTTGTAAAGCAACTACGAAATGACGATATCATCCCGCGAAATTTGTCTTCTAAGTGCCTTATTGAAATTTATCAAAGGGACTAATTGTTTAAATTGTTATTGTTCCCTGGGATTCCCAATTGAAATAGCGCTTCAAACAGCACATCTCCACTTCCCTCTGTTCTCGGCGGCATCTTTTTCAGATTGTTCCACGGTTGCCTCAAAGATTTCCTCTCCTCCTCCATATCACCACTCAGGGAGCAAGCCAAACTCCTCATTTCCCATTTAGGTTCCATTCCAGGGCCTGGAGCGTGACGCTTGGAAATTGAGGTGAACAATACTATTCGGAAGTTACTGACCTCTTTTATCAACTGTCGGTTTGCATGGAATTGGTTGGATTCAAGTTAGATCACAAGATGACATCAGTGGGAGTGTAAAGAAGACAAGACTGAGGAGGCCGTAAGGAATGTTTATTAGGTGAAAGGTATGGTACATAGCTAAATTTGGTATACCATTCGATATCATTCGATAGCTTCTTGGATTCTGCATCACATGGCAACATTCTTCTCATGGTTCTCTTCTTTGATTGCTCTTTCCAGTGTGCCAAACATATTGTTACTTCGTTTCTGATATACTACTTATATCGGATTATAAGTAGCACTCACCACAGGAGAACTACTGAAAACTAGGGAGTATGGAATAGCTGGTTCATCCAATTTTTGGGGCTCTTCAGTGGTACACAATTATCATTATGCCCACTAGTGACTGACTACACGATGAGGTTGCCTGGAATTCTAGTTAAAATGTTTTGACCGGAGGGATCCGCCAAGCTAGGAGTGAGCAGAGGTATATCGGCTAGCGCTGACGCTATTATATGGCCAACTTGTCGAAGTAAGAATTCATGGGATGACCCAGTGAATATGGTATACTGTGTATAGAGTTAAATCTTCTTCAACCCTGCTTACTCAAGCTTGAGACATTCAAGGTACCATTCTCTCTCCTTTTCTTTTTTTTCTTTCTTTTCACATTATTTGCCCCATTCGGAGGAAATCAACTTTGTCAAATCCATCGTCTCGTTGCCAGTTTCGCCCCAATCTGACTGTTCCAAAGTGGAAACTATTTTGTCGGGTATAAGCTAGTAGTTCAAGCTGTATGGATTTACACCTTAAATCTCTCTAAATATCAAACAGCTAACTTGAATCTTCAAGCATAAACGTGGTCTACACGAACTGGTTCGTTTAATTGATGCTTGTAGTATAGAGGACAATAAAACAAAAACTAATTCAAACATTAAATACCTTGGAATGGTTCCTCTTACTGGTCTTTCTTGGTCATCCCATAACTTGTTAAGACAGTCAGGAATCACTCAACGTCTACCTTAAGAATTTGTTAACTCTTATATCTTACCAATTGTTTTTTACTGCTCTCCGCCCTTAGTCTTACCTGAGCTACTCAAAAAGGACTATGTCAAATTGGTGCACCTCTTAGTTAGCTTGTTACTATTGTAGTCTCAACAGACACCTGAATTCATGCGACAAATGAGCAAAATCCATATTGTCTGACTCTCAACACCCTCTTTGCTCACAACTCTGACCTTGAATCTCATCAGGAAGGATAAGAAGTTCATAATAAAAGATCATATTCTCAGAAAACCAAGTACAGAAAACTCACTGCTTATACCACAAAGTTGCTATTAACAATTTTAGTTACCTATACCCTGTGACATTTCCCTTTGCTTTTGCTGTTGCTGAGTAAATTACATGCAACATTATTGTAACAAATACTAAGAATTCCATGGTGTTTCGGAAGAAAGCGAATTATCATTGTTATCAAATGGTCAGCAGGCTCACCTCGTAGCTTTAAGGTCTGGTATGGTATTCAATCCCTCCCTAGTGGTTGGTTGATGGATGCCCACTGTTGAAGAATTCAAAACGTGGACAGAACAGTTGTCCAGTACTCTATAGTAGTGTTCAATGATCTCCTAGCTGATGTCATTTTGTGATTAAGCTTGATTTCAATCCTTTTTCATAATAAAATAAGATGTCAGGTATTAAACAGACTTCGTCTAAATGCGCATACCTCTTTAGAGGTACAAAGTGATTTGTGTATTATTACTATTACTATTCGTCACTCAGCATCAACAACAAAATTCGAATTTTCAATACAAACGACGTGAAGTCAGTCAGTTCTTCTATACGGATCAGTAACTTGGCGGGTCACAAAGAATATTTCCAACAGCCTGTTGCACACCTTTATTAAGAGCAACTCTCTTCGCTCTATACTCAAGATCAGATGACCGGAAAGAATCACCAACAAGAAACTATGGGAAGAAACAAAACAAGAACCAATTGCCCAACAAATATGCAGGAGATTGTGGAGATGGATTGGACACTCACTAAGGAAGCCGCTGAGTGACATCGCACGTCAGGCCATAGCTCGAGGGGAACCCAAAAGGGAAGCGACGAGTGGGACGTCCAAGGGTGACATGGAGGAGATCGTGTGAAGAAGAGTTGAAACAGTATGGAATAACATGGATGCAAGTGAAAAGTACAGCAGAAGACAGAAGCAAGTGGAGGCGTGCAGTTGAAGCCCCCACTAGGAACCCAAAGGAACAATAATAATAATAATATTGAAAAAGAATGTCTAAATGTTAGTTAATTAGTTTATTATATGTTCCAGGTGTCTGTCATGTATACACACTGATAGGTTGATAAGAAGCGACTAAAACAGGAATTAAACCAACTCAAATTAGAATTTGTTGAGATAGAATGACCAGTGTTGACAAAGTGTCCAACTAACGCACTCGTTATACAGTGACTTCTGTCTTTTTGCAGCCATGTGGGATAGTGTTCTAGAACCTTTTGTGGACAGGAGACGCATCGTAACACAAATGTAACTGGCTCAACACGGGGAACAGGCGAACTAATATTTATAAACGATTGTACTGCTCTTGAAAATGATTCGCCATCACGTCTTCTTTTGTTAATGACTCAATACGGGGATGTCCCATTTAAATAATTTGATACTAAGGTTACGATTACAAAATGAAGATACAAGTCTAAATTGAGGTAAGTAAGATATGAGGAGAAGGAGGAGAATGATGCTCAGGAGGGGTTCATGTGCTTTCGGAAGTGTGTAGCAGGTTGTTACTTCCCGGATGCCCACAACGTGGAAGTTGATTGAATCTTTGGGTACCTGAAACAAAAAGAGGGTTAGTGTTGCGTGACCACAGAGTCCAGGAGACAACTGCTTGAGACCATTTGGTCACACACGCCTGTATGAACTTGTTTCTTGGTTTGGTTCCGTATTAGTAAACTTACCGTCGGTTATGGACCACCACCGTAGGGTGAGTCAGGATGTGCAATTTTTGGCGTTGACCTTTTCTAGCCCCGTCTCTCTCTCCAGAGTGGAGAGACAGCAAAGCTGGCTGACATGCTGATTATCTGAGGGAAATACCTTACTGCTATTACATTCCTGTTCCCCAGCCGTACGACTTCGTCCACAGACCCCCAACATAGCTTGGAAGAAATTCCTACACTATTCCGGTAACTGCTTTTAATCTAACAACCTTCCTGGCATGGTAGGACGTGGAGGAACAATAGTTCCAGCCGGTGTAGGTTATTGGGTTATTGAGATATGCAAGCCTGACCACCACGCGAAAGTAGCAGTTATCGGTCGGTTAAGGTAAGATACAAACCGGTCTGTGTGCTTTTGGAAGTGTGTGGGCGGTTGTTACTTCCCGGCTGCCAACACCGTGAAAGTTGGTTGAGTCTTCGGGTACCTGAAATAGAAAAAAGGTTAGTGTTGCGTGACCGCAGAGCCCAAGGGACAACTGCTTGAGTCCGGTCACACACGGCCTGTTTTTGTTTCTTCTTTTTTGTTTGGTGTATCTCAGTAGCATATTTATCACTTCTGCCCTATGACACGGCATCAGGAAGCGCGGTCGTTGTTAATCCGGGCCCTGACCGATCCGGCATGATATTTTCTGAATATGTTTGAATCATAGTGTTGGATTGGGTAGCTGTTTTTTGTCTAACCGCTATCCAAACAACCTTTCTGGCATGGTAGGACTTGCAGGAACAATAGTTCCAGCCGGTGTAGCTTGTTGGGTCATTGCGATATACAAGCCCGACCACAACGCACAGGTAGCAGCTTTCGGTCGGGTAAGGTAAGATACAAACCTGAATACAGCCAGTCAAGAAAAATGCACTCAAACCTGAAACTAAATCTTCAGTACTATTATTATTATTACTATAATTGCCAACAGAGTTATAGAAAACTGACTGAAATGCTTACTTTATCATCGAAAGTACTGAAATTGGCCAGTGTCTGTAATGATTTCGCCAACAACGTGAGATTACGTTGACAAGCTGGTTCACTAGGAAATGCACTAATCAATCCAAATAATGATGGTGATAGGAGTGCTGGACATATCAAGCGTAGAAATATACAACTAGAGATTAAATTATCACAGAATTCTGATCCACGGGATTTCTCCAAAACTGTACGAAATGAACTGAACAACTCAATGAGGACACTACAAAAAAGAAGAAACAAAAAAAACAAAAAAGAAATTCAAGGAAATCAATTACCTTCAGGGTAAAAACATGCATTGCAGAGAGTACAGATTATGGTTTAGATCACGGACTGACCTCAGTTAGAGAACCACTGAAATTTACTAGAAAGTACTGGATAGATGTTTCTTCCTGACTTCGGACTCTTCAGCAGCACACACCACGATCCCATCACTAAGGAATCAAAGCGAAGTCTGCTGAACATTCATTCATTGGGACGGAATTCAATGGTTCATTAAACTCTAACTTCTGTCACTTTGCGAGATATAAGGTCATCCATTGCCAGTCAGTGTCTTTGGACCCCACTGGTCATGACTTCTAACTATAACTCAAGACAACTTTACTTCTTAGATAGTTAATAGGGCACATTAGATTGATTTAAAAATGCATGCATTCCCTGTAAGATACTCAAATGATGAATGAATCATAAAGTATCACTAGCGATGATGTTGTTTTCTTACGTGCTAATCTCACACCCAATCTTTTCGTCTTTCCCATCAATTTTATTTATTATTATTCCCTTGCGTTCCAAGTGGAACATACGGCTTCACCAACACATCTGCACTATGTTCTGTTTTCTGCCGTCCACTTCAGCTGGGTACACGATTCCCCGAACTCCCTCATCTCCTCCTCAAACGATCTCCTCCATGTCACCCCCGCATTGAGGACCCACTCGTCGCTTCCCATTTGGATTCCTGTGGTGGCCTGCATTGCGCGCGATGTCATTCAGCGGCCTCCCCAATGTATGCCCGATCAACCCGTCTCCACTGTCTCCTACATATTTGTTGAGCGATCGGCTCTCGCCAGTTGGTTTGTTCCCATAGTTTCTTGTTGCTTATTCTTTCTCACCAGCCATTTGATCTTCAGAATGGAGTCAGCGAAGTGGGCAGTTGTTGATGAAAGTCTGCTGTGAACTGTTGGAAATGCTTTCGGTAACACGCAGTGCAAATTTCTGACCCATATAGAAGAGCTAACTGAATTCATATTTGTGTTGAACAGAATCCGAATCTTCCTCTTCATGCTGGCTGAGTAAGTACAAAAGATTTCCAAACTGGTTTCAGAGTGATGAAGGCGTATCTCGTCTTTCAGATCATGGCTGACTTTGACATCTTCGTCCGTTCCGTCTGTAGTTGAGACGATGCTTCCCAGATAAATGAAGGAGGTAGCCTCTGTTAAATCTCTCCCGTTGATGGTGGCTGCTGCTAGTTGTTGTCGTTGCTAATGGTTAGTTATCTTCTTCACCTCCGCCTTTTCTATGTTCACTTGGAGTCCTGCCTCTTCTACCAGCTTTTTGGTTTTCGTCTACCTGCAAGTTTTCGAGTTTGTGTGACATTAGACACATATCATCCAGGTGCAAAATCCAGATCTTCTGGAGTCTTCTTGCCAGTGGTCCAGAGTATTCCTGAATCCTCTCCCCCAAAAGTCTTCTGCATAATCCAGTCGACCACAATTAGTAATATCATCGGTGACAATAGGCAGGCAGTCTTGTCTTACTCCTGTATGCACTTCGAACGCCTCGCTGAGTGAGTCTCCCGTTGTGGATCACTTGACACGTGGCACTGTCATATAGCCAGCCACTGTTGAATGAGGTTGATAAAGACTCGGGCACTGCACGCCATAGTGTTGAAGTGGTTTCCAAATTACTTCTCAGTCAACGCTGTGTGTCGAAGGCCTTTTCGAAGTCAATGAAGTTGAGGTAGAGGTTTGACCGCTATTCTATGCTTTGTTAGGTGATGATCCGTAGAGTTGCAATTTGATCAGCACATGATTTGCTTTTCCTGAATCCAGCCAGCTTGTTTCGGTGGGGCTAGTGGAGTTCTCTATTCAGTACATCCTTTATTCTCTCCAGGATGATGCGACTTAGTATTTTACTTGGCGTGGACAAGAGCATTATTTCACGCCAGCCAGTTCTTGCACAGGCTTATGTCGCCCTTCCTTGGCAGTTTGACGAGGTAGCCAGGCCTTCTTCCAACGAGTAGGCACCTTTCCTTCTTTCCACACTTTTTGCAGTAATGGAGTGAGAACATCGGTCGTAATCTTTGGGTCCGTCTTCAGTGCTTCCGGAGGAATGACGTCTGGTTATGCTGCCTTCCAGACGGGACTTCAGTAGCTTGATCACATTCAGGATTTCTTCTTTCGTTGGTGGAGTAGTGTTCACTGGCATTTTCGTGAGCGCTGTTGGTGCGGGTGAATTTCTGGGCGAGTTGCTGGTGGTGGTCGATTCAAGAGTCCTTTATAGTGATCAGCCCATTCATTGTTTGATTTGTTTCTCCTCCTTGGTGATCAGGTTCTTTTGAGCATCTTTTATTGGTTTCATCATCTGGGTTGATTTCTTCCCGGGTAGAGATTTGGTTGTCTGATATAATGTCTTGATGTCTCTTTTGCCTGCGGCCTGTTCTGCTTCAGCCGCTGGCCAGTGTGTCGTAGAATTGTGGTTTGTTTTTTCTAGCACTCTTTCCCACACGTTAATACCGGTTAATAAACTAGGCGAGACTATTGAGTACGTAAACAGGGAATCAAGACCATACAGGGGAAGCATAAACATTACTGAAACACCGATGCGCATACATACATGAAAATATGGATGTCCCACCGTTGACATTGGATGATGGTCGCGCTAAATCACGAACTGGTAGAAGTTAGAATTCATGGGCTGGCCATTGAGTCAAGTGGGTCCCAGTGGCTGAATGGTATACGAGCCTACTGGTCTTGTAATCGGAAGGTCCTGGGCTGGAACCGTGGCAGTGGGTGCGTACTGCCGATGATTCCCAAACTAGGATGAGACAGCTGTCCAGTACACAGTGCTTGTTTTCAATGGTTCCCTAACTGATATCAATCCGTGATCACCTCGTAAAAACAAAACTAATCCTTACAAACCAACTATAGAAAACATGTGTTTCAAATGCAAAGAGGACATAAGTTCTTTCAAGACTACAGATACACCATGCTGACGAGTGTCAACAAGCACAAAAGCTAGGTCGACGATTACGTCCAACCACACAACAGATGTAGCCTAAGGCATTGAATGGTTACATTTCATAAGTGATTCAGTTAGATAACGTCCATCCTATAACACATTAAATAGCAGAAACTGGAGTAAACGGTTACTAGATTCTAATATTCAGTAGGTAACCCAGAGCTAGGTGTGCATCACCACCCGAGTTGTTCATTTTGCCTTCACTCTATTCACAAGAAATTCACAAAATAAATAGAAAACAACTGTTCAATGGTTATTCACCAATCTTAAAGGTTTTTTTCTAACTTGTAATTTCATTAAAAACATCCTCCTCTTTGAGATCAATCCGGTCGCCTGCTACTAAGTGAATTTTTAACGATCGATCAATTGGCTTTTTTCTTTTGAAGAGGTCACACAAATACAAAACAACTTTTTAGTTTGAAAATAAAAGTACGCATAAAACTGTAATCATAGTTATAATAATAATAAGACTAAAAATAAGAGGCTGGTTTTTATTATTTTTAAAACAGGAAAGAGAAGAAGAGCCAAATTTGCTGTGCTGAAGTATTGTAAAATACCAGCAAACACCCATAAATGCAAATAAATATTCATAAACATAAACATATATCCCAAAAAAGATCTCACCATCAACTTAAAAGTTGATAGATGAAATTTAAGTAGATCTATGTTATTCAACACATACGAATCGTAGAATATAGAATTGCTTACGATTAAATAAACACTTTATATGGCGTGGGCTACTGATAAGATTTATCAGTAGTATATAAGGAGACGTCCATCGGCATAAAAACATCAAATAGCGGGGAGATAGATTGGATTTCAGAGAAGGCAAATGATACAAAGTTGTGAAGATACATGGGAGACGTGAAAAGGACACAAAGATACACAATATGAAGTCTAGAAGTACCACAACACGCAGATCTGTGCAAATTGTGCGTTGAAGATAAGGTGTGTACATAATTTGGCTATATAGAGAGTCTCATCGGCAGTATGCCCTCACAATGACTGGCTACAGGAAGAAGTTACATGGAGTTCTTCTGAGAAGTCATGGCCAGTGGAGTCCATCCAATCGGGATTGGGGATACAGTTCCCGACGATGACATTGGTTGTTGGATGACAGCGGCACTAAAATCACGAATTGGTAGAAGTTAGAATTCATGGGCTGTCCGTTGAACAATCGGGTCCCAGTAGGCGGATGATATATGAGCTCGTCTTGTGTTAAAACCCTGGTGGTGGGTGTGCAGTGCCGATGAGACCCAGGAAACAGCTATCCAGTACCCTAGTACTGGTGTGGTGAGAGCTGTCTACTAGCCAAATTGGTAGACAGTAATTTACGTTTCCAAGATTTGTCGTGAGAAAATGTGAACAAAGATCGACTTTGCGTAGGCGGATACAGTTAACATATAGAGGATTTGACATTCAAGAAACAGTCACAAATAGATGAAAGATTAACTTTACGTGAGAAACAACCAATCGGATGACTGTGTTTGTTTGCTTAACTAATCTATAATAATGTACATGAAAATATATAAATATGCTTTGATTTCCTTAATAAATGATCTGTTGCCTGACTCTTGCCTTCTGTTGTTACACTGGTTGCCAATGGTTCTCTAAGTGATATCAATCAGTGGTCTAACCTGAAGCCTTAAGACTAGTGTCCTAGTGGACCATGTCTCATTTGAATTTCTTCAAAATAAATTACTACGTATGGCATAAGAACAGAAAAGACTAATAGAATATAAAGAGGAATTAATGCTCAAGTTCTGGTTAGAGAAAAAGTCATTGAAAGACGAGGGTGAACCGAAAAGCTGTTTCGTCTTAGTTGTGGACTCAGCAGCAGCAGCACCTCTACGCACGGAGTTACCGAGAAACAAATACAGGATATTCAGGTAGCAAAGACAGCATGTTGATTATTCGGCCACTGAGATAGAATGCAATCCTGACTTCTGCCGATTCACGATAATATTATGGTGTCGTCGGTGAACATTTCTTCCCATACGTGACTCGGTGGACGTCAGCTGTCACCACTTCTCACTTTGACTATAAGCACTCCATTAAGCAGTCAGTCTCTAGTAAGCATCAGATTACCTTTCAGTTATTGGTTGAAACGGATTTGACTGACCTCAGATTAGATCACGCGAATTGACATCAGTTAGTTAGAGAACCATAACCGTAAAATCAGGGAGTACCAGACAATTGTTTCCTTCTAGTCTGAGAATTTATAGATCATTGGATTTGATTCCAGTAAATAAATGGTCAACACCTCGTAACCTAAAGATCCTGGATTCAATTGCCAATGGGGTAATAAGTGCATACTGATGAGGAGTTCCGAACTGGGACGAAACACCTATTCAGTAACAAATATATCAAAGGGCAAAATAATTTAGTCGACACTACTCCTGGAAAGTATATTTCGTCACTTTTCTTACATTGCTGGGCGTGTGTGTGTGTGGGACTTAGTTAGTTCCGAAATCGATCTTATAAGTAAGACCAACTATTGAAATAAGGGGATGTTGAACACTGACACACACACACACTAGGGTTACTTAATCGGTTCGTTTGTTTTTCTTAGCCTTTATGGACTACTACGTCTATCTGAACATTTGTTTGTTTAATCAGGCTGTTTTTCATTATTCGTGTTATCACAGATCGCCTCACTTTTCATCCTTATTATTGATAAAAGCAGTATTATTACTATTATGACTAACTCCACAATTTATATTCACCGTCTTATTATCCTATAGACAAAACACCATGATTGGTTTATGTTTGAATTTTTATTTGTAAAGTTATGTAGGTATATTCGAGTTCAGTCTGATGAGATCTTATTGAAAACACAATACCACTGTTCGCTTAAATGTGTGTTGTTCTAATTAGCAATAAGTCACAAAAACAAAAAAGTCGAATTTCAAGCTAATAAAAACGACTAATTCAACTGCAAATTAATAAATTTTCACAACAGTGGTTGACAGAAGATACAATTATTTCGTTCATTCAAAAGTCTGTTATGAACATATCGCCAATGGATATGATCACGTCGGCAGCTGATATGACCCAGTGCACTTACGCGTGTGCACAATAAATAGGGACTGAACTAATATCCTAGATAAACCTATTCGTCCGTGGTACTGTTCGCTTCACTGAGCCACATAAAATTTGAAAAGACAAAGACACTGGCCTGTGACTATTACGGTATAATTTAATTAGCAGAAAACTACGGCATATTTATGTATTTTGAACCACAATAAAATTTGTCTAGGGCAGTGGAAAATAAAGTGTTTTGATTGGTCAACGATTGGACCAGGACCAAGGTAAGAAATAGATATAACAACAGATTGAGCGGAGAAGTAATCATGCATTCCATCGTTGACAAAGTCATTGATGATAGGCACTTGATTTCATACAACAAATTTGCTAAAAGAATTTTGTCAGACTGTGAGCACCCACTTCACTAATCCGCAGCTTTCATCTTGTGTCTCCTCAGGTAAAACAAGAAGTCTTTTCAGAAGACTTTATCCCCGAACATCTAAGTATAAAGATTCTACTATACCATATTAGGCACTTACTTTATGTGATGAAAATAGTGTTAGGCATGAACTAACTAACCTTCTTTCCACTAGTGGTAAATAAACCATTTTCTTCACCCTTGCAACATCAAGCCTTATTGTTATTGTACTTCTTATATTTATAATCCTCTCAAGTTTTTGTTTTTATTTGTTTATTTTTCCATAAGTGTGAATATCATTTAAGCTGTGTTATAACTGTTAATTTTGTATTTCACCTCACCATGCTGCTATATCAACAGAACATTAGATTCAATAATCTACAACATGCTAGAATTTCCAAATTGAATCGACAATACTGTTTGAAACAAACCCACTGTTATTATTATTATTATATTTATTATTCTCATTTTGTACCTCAAATATTTTCGACTTTATTTCTACCGTAAATGTGGACGAATTCTTCTGGTTAATTTAATTTATATTTTGAGTAAATCAGATGCAATATTACGACAAATGCTGAGAATTCCGTTCTGTATTATAAGTACTTTTTTTGGAACATAGTAGATTATTATTATTATTATTATTAAAACAACTAACTAATAGATGTTAGTAACAAGATATCCAAGTTTTAAAGGTGGGGTGGGGTGAGTGGGAGTGAAAATTAATTTCGGAATTCAAGATAAGTTGATTCTTAGGCGACGTTAGCAACAAGTCATTACATAATCAAAAAATTTGGAAAATAGCAATGACGAGTAAAGAGAATAGGATGGTGATTCAGAAGAATTACGTAAAATACAAACAAGTTAACAGAATTACCTAGAATTGTAAAAATTAACAAAGTCAAAAGATGATTACAAGGGTAGGAGAGAAAATTGTTTTTAAAACCCCAATACATATTTAAAGTGTTGGTTTGTAGGGATTTGATTGGTTACAGGATTTCATCATGAGCTGACATCAGTTAGAGAACCATTGGAAAACCACCAGGCAGGCAGGGAGTACTGGACAACCAGATGTTTTGTCAGCCTAGTTTCGGACTAACCCTTCAGCATTACGCACCCACCACAGGGTTTCGAACCCAGGACCTTCTAGTTACAAGCCGAGCTTGTAGACCATTGAACCACTGGGACCCGATCCAATGGCCAACCAGCCCATGAATTCTAACTTCTGCCAATTCACGACATAGCGTGACCGATAGCCAATGTCTTCGGCGAGCATTTGTCCTCACAACTGACCTGCTGCACCCTAATGGTCACGACTTTTCACTAGAACCCCAGGTAACTACCTGGGGTCCCAAACTAGGACGTAACAGCCGTCCAGTACTCCCAGGTTTTCCAATGGTTCTCTAACTAATGTCAGCTCATGATGAAAATCCTGTAACCAAAATAAGCATTTAATTGGTGAAAAAAATTTTGATGTAAAAAGCGAATATATATATATATATATATATATATATATATTAGTGTAGAGCCAACCAGTCGATAATATGGAACTAACTGAAAAGGAATGCATGACTACTTCTCCGCTCAATCTGTTTATTTTTTCTAAATGCGTAAATAGGTATTGAATAAAAAAGATGGTGAAATTAACCAGTCGGTCAAGGTCATCTGATCACATGTCAAATACAACTTTTTAGCCGATTCTTATCAAGGTCAAATAAATCCTATTCATATTGAAGTTTACGCTGAAGATACTGTCTAGACAGGATAGTGAAAGCTACATAATTCAGTGAGCCAGCTTAGATATTGCCACCAGACAGCAGAAGTAAGCTATAGACACCAAAGCCAAACGACCTTGAAGTAACCAATCAGATCGCTCATCCTTCCAAATGGATGCTATTCACGACCTTCGTTGCAGGTTTCACCCAAATTTCGTTTTTGACTTCCACTGTAAGGAAAATGGGTTGATAGGGAGGTTAAAAACCTGCATTTGTGGAGGGATAATCACGCTACAAAAGCATTGTCGGGCGGCTATTGACGGTTAGGCATTTAGATGCAACCAGCGTTATATGAGGAAGTCTGTGCGAGTTGATAAGTCCTACATTATGGTGATTTTTCAGATACTTTCTTCTCGAAATCGAAACTGTCCCCATTTGTAAAATATTGCGTATATGCCATAACTGGCTACTGAAGTGACCAGTATCTGCTACAGCTGTAGAAACGGAGAATACAAAGATTTCAATAGTGCAGTGGTATCACTACTGCCGTGACATTGCGTCACAAAAGCTAAATGGGATCGCTTTTGTACTTCGCGGAGTTGGCGTCATCGTGCATATTGACAAAACGGTACTTATTAAGCGAAACATGAATCGTGGCAGGAGTAGAGAAAATCATGTTGGGTGCTGGAACTTTACGACACAAATTTTCATAAATGGTTTATAGAAGGCATCCTGAACCGAAGTTCTGATGTCTTAATACCAATTATACAACAACTAGTCCTCCCGGGAACGACCATTGACACTAGGCTATATTCACCATAAAGTCAACCATTCTTCTGATTTCGTGGATTCTATTATGGTGAAAGCTGTCTGTTAGCTAAAATTGTAGACAGTAATTTACGTCAGTCTTCACATCCCGAATCAAGATCATGTGAAAAACAACAACAAGACTTAACCTTGAGGAATTCATCAACCAATCACAGAAGACTTAAAGTGGGCAGATACGAGTAGCACATATAGGCCTCAACTTTCTAAGAAACGGCCACAAAGAGATGACAGAATAACCTTCAGCAAGAAGACAACCAATTAGAAGAGGTTGCTTCTCTGCTAACAATAACGCTAATAATAATGTACATAAAAATCTATAAATACCTCTTGATTTTCTCAATAAACGATCTGTCTGACCTGGTCCTTGTCTTCTATCGTTACACTATAAAAGTAACATATACAAATTCCATTGAAGGATTCTGGGCTCACCTCAAAAAGGCGTATCAGAACGGTAAATGGTTCCCGAAATGATATGGTATATAGCCATTTAGATGAGTTTTTCTATCGACATTGGTTTAATATGTCCAAAACCACTCCTATGCGGAACTGGGACCAGTTTTTGTGGCAAATTAGAGACATTTATCCTGTATAATTCATTTGTATTATATATATTCATGTTGTGCGTCGGTGGCACTGCGGTAGAGTGCTCGCCGACCACGCCTCAGGTGGTTCGGGGTTCGATCCCCGGTCACCGACGCACTCCTTTACCTCGCTAAGCCAGAAATAAAGCTGGTAAAGAGGAAAGGTTGGGCATCAGGCTAGCAACCCCATTCTGTAAAATACACACTGCTACAGAAACTTCAAGTCTCTAGCTTGAAGCTCTACGTTCCACTGGGAAAGTAAAGGAATAAAAAAAAAACACATATATATCATTAAATCAGAGAACTGTTAAATACCTGGGAAAATAATTTAAACTTGATTGTATAGCACGCCAAACAGCATCAAAGTATCGCAGTAGTATTATCTGATTGCTTATTAAACTCCCAGGTATAATTGGTTTAAAAGACTTTAACATATTGACAGGAGTTAGAGCAAATGCAGTAGTATCTGATGCAGTCAGTGAACCAGTCATACATTGTGTCGCTGTCAATTTATCAGGATCAACTTCCCATAATGTGAAACAAGTTAATACACGTTGAATAAAAAGGTGCAGTAATTGATGAAGATACTGAAATAAAAATTTTGAAAACAAAAACAAAAAAAATAAACAAACATTAGTTCAAAGGTTAAGCAATACAAATGTGTTTTCAACCACTTTTCACTTGGTTAAAAATGCATTTGTCAATCCAACTGCTATTATGCGACCAATTATATTAGCCATTGTTCTAGAAACTTGGCATTTCATGCTAAGGATCACATATTAGTGTTGTGGCTAAATAAAGTGTGGTAAGAGCTGTCTGCAAGCCAAAATTGAAGACAACAATTAGATCGGGTTCCAGTGGCTTACCATGTAACCGGAAGATCTTGGATTCGAACCCCTTGTGGATGGTGCGTACTTCTGTAGAGTCCCAAACTAGGAGAGAGGAAACAGCTGTCCAGTACTCCAGTGCTGGTTTTCCAGTGGTTCTCTAACTAATATCTATCCATGATTAAACTTGAAACAAGTCAGTAGGTAGTTGGAGAATCTCAGTAACATGTTTCAACAACAATTTCAGTGGAGAAGTATTATTCTCAGTGCTGATTATTATGAGATGTTAAGAATAGTTTCATTTAATTCATATTTAATTAATCTCTCACCATGTACTTCTAACAGATGCTTTCTGTTTATGTTCAAGTTATAAGCTAACATTTCATACAAAAAAAAGAAATTAGAGTGCAGCAATATTTTCAATTATATTATTATTATTTCCTTTCATTACTAGAGGAACATAGGGCTGCAGCCATGCGTTCGGTTCTCTGCTAGAGTCTTCACCTGGCTTCAATTCTGCCCACACGTTTTCATCTCCTCTTCACATGACATCCTCCACTCCATGTCACCCTTGCACTGACGACCAACTCGTCGCCGCTTCCCTTTCGGGTTCCACTCGAGCGATGGCTTGTCTACTGATGTCACTTGATGGTTGGTTTCCTCAGAGTATGACCAGCCAATCCAACTACCTCCATTTCTTCCTGCCTATTTGTTTCACAGTCGGTTCCTGCTGGGTTGGTTCGCTCATTGCCAGAGGTCTCTGTTGCTGATCTTTTCCGGCCGGCCATCTGATCTTGAGTAGTGTTGAGCGAAGACAACTGTTAATGAAGGTCTGTAGTTTGTTTCAGATGCTCTCTATGACGCGCAAAGTCTCACATCCGTATAGTGAGTAGCACTGACTGACTTCACATTGGAGTTGAAAATCCAGATTTTATTTTTGGTGCTGAGTGCTGTTGACCTCCACACAGACTTGAGAGTAGTGAAAGCTTGTCTTGCTTTTCCGATTCTTGCTTTGATATCCTCGTCAGTTCCGTCCGCCTATAGTTGAAACGATACTTCCCAGGTAGGTAAAAGAGGTTGTTTCTTTCAGGTTCCTCCCATTTATGCTGATTGTTGTCTGTTGTTGTTGTTCTTGTCCAGGAATCTTCATCACCTCTGTTTTCTCTATGTTCACCTGAAGTCCTATCTTCACTGGATGCTTCTTCTGTCAACTTGTTGATTTTCGCTTGCATATCTTCCAGTTTGTGGGAAATCAGACATATATCATCGGCGAAGTCCAGATCCTCCAAGTTTTTTGTGTGAGTCCATTTTATGCCTGTTTCCTCATTGCCCGGTCCGCTGTTTGTCGCATTATCCAATCAATTATATGTATACCATTATTTAGATACCCCTAAGTCTGCTAATTGTTGGTATTAGAATAGTAGCATGAAGTGTTCACAGAACCTACACCACCTAGGCCTGTCGACGAAAGGTTACCGATGTGATATTTGAAACTTGCGACCACAAATTGTCAAACATTTAGAACAGCACAATTAAGCAATATGACAATTAATACTTTCTGCAATGACCAACCAATATTTAAAGTTGCCTTTTCTGGTTCTAGGTTATCCGTTTTAATCTTCATACATGGTTATTGTTATTATTATTATTGTCCTCTTAGGTTCCAAGGGGAACATTCAATTTCAGAAGTAGAACAACATTTCACTCTGTTCCCTACAGTTTCTTTTAGCTTACTCCACTTTCACTTTCTCCTCTTCACACAATCTCGTCTATGTTACCGGCCAATTTAAACTTTAAGCATCACTAACAACTACCAATAGAGTTCGACCGCACCAGTGACCTTGAAACGCTCACTGAGCAAGTCAGTGAAACCTGCCAGGTAATGTTGTCATTATCAATAAAGTAGGCTCATAGAAATGTTACGCTATTAAATGGGATATCTGGCAAGTTTCAGCTTAGGTGTTTGGGAAAAATTAAGTTATGGTTTAGGCCATGGACAAGTAAGAGTTAGGTTAACCTAATAAAGGCGACATTAGGGTTGGTTTGAGTTAGTTTAGGGATATTTTCACCTTAGAGTTGGGTTCAGGAAAGATTAGGATTATTGTTAGGGTTAGAAGACCTAAATAATTACATGCATAGAATGTGGTTAAATTACTCTGTTGATATAAGAATAGAACTTGTGCACTGTGGTGGTAGAGTATAATTCCATTGTGGGTAAAATTTATTTTGATGAAGTCTCACAGTGTTATGCAGTAGTAATACTCACTGATGACCACGTTTCGAGCACAGTTTATTGCTCAGTAAGTATTACTTTGTATTACACTATAAGACTATATCAAAATAAATTTTACCCACAATGGAATTATTCTCTGTTGATACTCACATGTGAGAGGAAGGTATCCTGTGTAACACTTTTCGACAGTTTTTGTGCATTTTTTTCATAAATACATGTATTGCATACACAAAAATGCCTCCTTCACATGATTGGTGCATTCGAGGTCACTTACTGATTGGTAGTTAGTGCTGCTTAAAGTTTAACTTTGCCCAAAGGACCCTCAGACTCATCATTACCCATTCTGTTTGCACTTAGGAGCATGGATAGGGCTATGACTAAAGTATAACAGTTCGAGCTGTCACATTCCATTCAGGCATGCAAAAGAATGACAATTAGGGGAAATTTGAGGGGGAGAGAGGATAGTAACATGAAAAAACGATGGGGTTTAATGAATATGGGACATCACAAAAGAGTGAATGCATCTGAGCCAGGTATTGGTAACAGTTTTGAGTCATATCACTAATAATTTAATAATTCCCATTGTAGCATTAAGAGCACAATATCCAGCGAAGAGACTCTTTTCAACAACGAATTTATTATCAAGCTGTACAATCGGATATATATAGGTTTTTTTTTATAAAAATTATATCCGGTGAGGGAATTGAATCCTAGATGTGAATGCACGAAATAATAATAGTATGAAATGCAAAATTATATTTTTGTTTTCACAATATTGAATTCTATCTTATCAAATTTCACACCATGTTATGTAACATTCTATATTCGCCTACTAATCCTATAATTATGTACCCCTTTCCAACAATATCTATACACCTTATTTATTATTCTATATATGACAGTAATTGTTTTGCTACTTGACATTAAACTATGATTATAATCACAAACATTTTAATTTTAATTGCACTTCATACCATTATTATTATTTCATGTGTTCACGCCTTTGAACTAATTCCCTCACCCGATATAATTTCTTAAAAACCATATATATACGATTGTAAACCTTGATTATAAATTCGTTGTTGAAAAGAGTCCCTTCGCTGAATCTTGTGTTCTTAATATCATTAATAGTCTCCAGCCATTTGGTTCTTAGTACCCACCCCCCAGGAACCCCAACCAGGCAGCCTAAACCTACCTATTTGGCCGGCTTAAACTAAACGCCAAAGATCGCGTGGACTGATCCCCATTTTTGGTTTGATAACCATTAATTCTTTTCCAAGCTAATCCTATTGTAACAACAGAAGACAAGGGCCAGGCAACAGATCATTTATTTAGGGAATCAACACGTATTTATAGATTTTCATGTACATTATCATAGATTATTGATTGCAAACAAACACTGTCTTCTGATTGGTTGTTTCTCGCTGAACGTTAATCTTTCATCGCTTTGTGGACGTTTATTGAAGTTCAGATTATCTATCTGCAAATTGTATCCACCTACGCAAAGTCTGCTGTGATTAGTTGTTGAGTCAGTCAGTCTTTGTTCTTATTTTTCTCATGACCAATATTGGGAACGTAAACATTGATGTAAATTACTGTCGACCGATTTTGGCTAGCAGACATCTCTCACCACACTATGTCGAGGAAAGTGATAACTAACTAGGCATGTGCGCTGAAGATGTCATCTAGTAGGGTGATGAAAGCTTCACAAATTAACTATCCAGCTCAGAGAACACAACCACATCAAAATCATCCACCTGAGCTACAAATCTTCTCCATCATATCTAACCTTAATTTATTGGAAGATTTCATCATGAGCTGACATCAGTTAGAGAACCAGTGGAAAACCACTAGGCAGGGAGTGAGTACTGGACAGCCAGATGTTTTACTAGCCTAGTTTGGGACTCTTCATCAGTACGCACGCACTACACCGGAGTTTGAACTCACGACCTTCAGGTTACAAGGCGGGCGAGCTCGTAGACCATTAAGCCACTGAGATTCGATCCAATGGCCAGTGCATGAATTCTAACTTCTGCCAATTTTGCAGCTATACTCACTCTAAAGGACCTTTACGAGTCGTAAATTATTCAAGCATCTGTGTAAATGATAGGCTGTCACATCTGAATGATCTACGAGCTCGCTAGTGTTCTAACCAGAAAGTCGTGGGTTCGAACCCACTGTGGTGGATGCGTACCACTGAAGGAATAGTCCCAAACTAGCCTGAAGAAACGGCTGGCTTTCCAGTACTACGTCCCTACCTGGTGGTTTTCCAATGGTTCTCTAACTGATGTCAGCTCATGATGAAATCCTCCAAACAATCAAACTAAATCCCTACAAAAATCAATTTATTTTATATTAAAAAAAATACTTATGTTTCCATTTCCGTTTCTTTCACCTATAATAAGAATTATGCATAGGAAACTAGATTCTGTGCTGATTCCTTTATGTGCTTGAGATATAAACCAATCATGTGGTAGTAGTTAATTTATGACCTTGACGTGATTGGTCTATACTGTTTATAGCTATG